TTTCAGGCCACCCTGCCTTGGTGGGAAATGGCTGGTGTAAAAAAAAAAAAAAAAAAAAGTATTGACAGAAAAGCAGGCCTTGCAAAAATAATAATAAAATTTGCCAAGATCCGTTACAAAGACGATGAAGTGACAAATACCTGGAATGCAACTTCTGAATGAACCACTGAATTTACACAAACAGTTTTATACCAAAGCTAATATTTTATGAATTTTGATCAATTCAAGATATTCGATGTCTACTTAGAAAATCATCTCAAACTATTTCTAACTACTCTAGTGTACAAAATGTCAAAATTCCATTAAGACCGTCATGCCAGACATTATAATACTCTGTACAAAAATATTTAAATATTTTTTTTTTTCGAAATTGTCATCTGCATGGTATTTTCATCATCAGGGAAAAGCACTGAACCCATAGGTCATACAATGCCTGACATGACATGGAAGGCTTCTACCAGTGCATGGTTGCTGTTCCCACCTACACCTCACCTTGTCATATTCTTACCACAACTTGACATATACATACATAAAGTGGTGTTTACAGAGATCTGCAAGGTAACCTCAATGGCCCTAATTGTGTTTTACTGATGATTTAGTAATAAAGCAACTTTTTTGAACAAGTCCACTTCAAGCTTTGTTAAACAGTTTTGACAACACCTTGGTGCCAACTTTTCAGACTGTATTTGTTAAGGTGTTATGAAGGAATCACAGCATGTATAATTCCTAGGAAATATAGCAAGTATAATCCCTAGGAAATATAGCATGTATAACCTTATGAATTGTAGCACACAGCTATATATTCTCTAGTGCTCCATTACTTTAAAGTCAATGGAAGTGTAAGAAAGGTAATGTACTGTAGAGTGCATCATACCCTTAGTATTAGCTCAATTACCTGGAGGTTATTCCGGGGATCAACGCCCCCGCGGCCCGATCCATGACCAGGCCTCCCAATGGATCAGGGCCTGATCAACTAGGCTGTTACTGATGCCGCACGCAGTCCGACGTACGAGCCACAGCCCGGCTGATCCGGCACTGACTTTAGGTATCTGTCCAGCTCTCTCTTGAAGGCAGCCAGGGGTTTATTGGCAATTCCCCTAATGCTTGATGGGAGGCTGTTGAACAGTTTTGGGCCCCGGACACTTATGGTGTTTTCTCTTAGTGTACCAATGGCGCCCCTACTTTTTATTGGCGGCATTTTGCATCACCTGCCCAGTCTTTTACTTTCGTAGGGAGTGATTTCTGTGTGCAGATTTGGGACCATTCCTTCCAAGATTTTCCAAGTGTAGATTATGATATATCTCTCCCTCCTGCTTCCAACGAGTACAAGTCAAGTGCTTCCAAGCGTTCCCAGTAGTTAAGGTGCTTGACAGAACTTATACGTGCAGTAAAGGATCTCTGTACACTCTCTAGATCTGCGATTTCACCTGCTTTGTATGGAGATGTTAATGTACAGCAGTATTCCAGCCTAGAGAGAACAAGTGATTTGAAAAGGATCATCATGGCTTGGCATCTCTCGTTTTGAAAGTTCTCATTATCCATCCTATCATTTTCTTGCACATGCGATCGTGGCACTGTTGTGATCCTTGAAAGTGAGATCCTCAGACATTACTACTCCCAGGTCCCTTACATTATTTTTCCGCTCTATTGTATGGCCGGAGTCAGTAGTATACTCTGTTCTAGTTATATATCTCCTCCAGTTTTCCATAACGGAGTAGTTGGAATTGTCCTCATTGAACATCATATTGTTTACCGTTGCCCACTGGAAAACTTTGTTTATATCTTCTTGGAGGTTAACCGCGTCCTCAGCAGATGACAGCCTCATGCAGATCCTAGTATCATCCGCAAAGGATGATACGGTGCTGTGGTGTATATCTCTGTTTATGTCTGATATGAGGATAAGGAATAAGATGGGGGCGAGTACTGTGCCTTGTGGAACAGAGCTCTCTCACTATGGCAGCCTCCGATTTAACTCTGTTGACCACTACTCTTTGTGTTCGATTTGTTAGGAAGTTGAAGATCCATCTCCCCACTTTCCCAGTTATTCCTTTAGCACGTATTTATGGGCTATTAGCCCATGATCGCATTTGTCAAATGCTTTTGCAAAGTCTGTGTATATTACATCTGCATTCTGATTTTCTTCCAGTGCATCCAAGGCCATGTCATAGTGATCCAGTAGTTGTGAGAGGCAGGAGCGACCTGCCCTGAACCCATGTGCCCTGGATTGTGCAGATTTTGGGAATCCAGGTGATTTGCAATCCTGCTTCTTAGCACTCTTTCAAAGATTTTTATGATGTGGGATTGCAGAGCTATTGGTCTATATTCTTACTAATGCTTTGCTGCCACCATTATGGAGTGGGGCTATATCCGTTGTTTTAAGTGACTGTGAATTTCACCCATGTCCAAGCTCCTCCTCCATAGTGTACTTAGGGCACGCGAGAGGGGTTTCTTGCAGTCTTAATGAAAACAGTTCCACGAGTCTGGCCCGGGGCTGAGTGCATAGGCATGTTGTCAATGGCTTTTTCGAAATCTATCGGAGTTAGGGTAATGTCGGAAATCTGGCATACATTTATGGAGTTTTGAGGCTCATTCATGAAGAAATCATTTGGGTCGTCGATCCTCAGACCGATTAGTGGTTCACTAAACACAGAGTCGTACTGGGATTTCAATATTTCACTCATTTCCTTGTTGTCGTCTGTGTAAGTCCCATCCTGTCTGAGTAAGGGCCCGATACTAGATGTGGTATTTGCCTTGTTTTTGGCATATGAAAAGAAATATTTTGAATTTCTTTCAATTTCACTAATAGTTTTAAGCTCCTCCTGCCCTCTCCTGGTTCCTGTAAGAGTCATTTAGCTTAAGTTCGATAGTTTCCACTTCCCTGGTCAGCGCCTCCTTTCGTGTATCAGATATTCTAGCACTCCTGAGGAGCTCAGTGACTCTCGTCGTCTTCTGTTGAGGGAGCGTCTTTTTCTCTCCAGTTTACTCCTGCTTCTTCTTCTTTCTTAGGGGAATATGCCTAGAACATGCTTCGGCTACCAGGAAGTTGATCCTTTCAAGGCACTGGTTTGGATCCATGTCATTTAAGACATCTTCCCAACATGTTTCGTTTAGGACATGGTTTACCTGGTCCCAGTTGATGTTCTTGTTGTTGAAATTGTATTTTGTGAAGACACCTTCACAGGTACATGCATTCTGCTGTTCAGGACCCCTATGCATGTACGTCTGGACTTCGATTAGATTGTGATCGGAATTAGTTGTTTTTGATATTCTTAGTCTCTTATCAGGTCCTCATTATTTGTGAAGATAAGGTCAAGTGTGTTTTCTAGTCTTGTTGGCTCCACTATCTGCTGGCTTAAGGTGTGTTTTTTCGCAGAGACTTAGTAGCTCATGTGTGTGTGACCTTTCATCTGCGCTACTCCGGGGATTGTTTCAGCTATAACATTTATTTGCTACATTCTTCCATTTTGTATGCCTTAGGTTGAAATCACCAAGCAGTAAGATGTTTGGGGATGAGCTGGAAGGTTTTCCAAACAGTAATCGATTTTTCAGTAGCTGTTCCTTGAACTGTTGGGAGGTTGCATCTGGTGGCTTGTATACAACCACAATGACTAGGTTTTGGTTCTCGATCTTTATTGATAGAACTTCAACTACCTCATTTGTGGTGTTCAGCAACTCCGTGTAGATAAGGGACTCTTTGACATACAGGCCAACCCCCCCTTGTTGCCTGTTTTTTTCTGTCGCATCTAAAAAGGTTGTAACCACTTATCCATATTTCACTGTCAAAGTGATCTTTTGTGGAGTCTCTGTGAAGGCTGCAAACATTGCATTAGACTCCACTAGAAGTCCACTGATAAAAGGTATTTTGTTGTTGGTGGATGGCTTAAGGCCCTGTATATTAGCAAATATGAATGAGGTTGTATTCTGTGTTTGTTGGGGGATTTTGTTATTGGCATCAGTAGTTGTAATTCTGGAGGGCCATGGGTGGCCACTGCTGCCCTCCAGTCCAACAAGGCTCCAAGGTGGTGGACTATTTTTGTTATTTCCTTCCATTTTCTTTTTTCGTTTCCTGCCACTAAAAAATCACCTGGAGTTGGGTTGTCGTAGCTACTATTGTTTGTCTTGTGGGGTCTGTGCCTCCTGGTCCCTTTTAGATGGTATGCAGGGCACTCGATGTTGTAACACTGCTTCTGGAGGACCGAGGAGTGGCACATTTTTGGGTGAAAGAAAGTACAGGAAGAAGAACGACACACTCCTTTAGACAGGAGGTCGCTACATTTTTTGGGATGGTCAAAGTTGCATGTCCCATTTTTTTCCCCTGTTATTCCATGCTTACAGATGCCCCAAGCATAATATTTGCACAAATTCACCTTTGGTTGAGAATTGTTGGGAGGTGTGTTGTCAATTTCTGCAGGTTCTGGGACTGCACTATAATCCTCAGTATCCAAGCCAGGGCCACCCCGTCCTGGATTCCATCTACTTTCCCCAGTATAATTACTGCATTATGCAAGTTAAATATAGCCAGGTGATATTGTTATCTAACATTTAGTCTCTGATTTTATCTCGCTGGCCAAGGGGTCTGCCAAAACCTTGATTAGCCTCTAGAGATATTAGAGATATATTAATACAGTATACAGCATTTAAAAGTGGATCCTTTTTTTTTTTCATTCTTTGGTAATGACAAAACTGACCCAAAACTATCCTAATAACTGCTCACAAACTCCCCAAGGAATAATTAGTAAAACACTTCCACCTACCATAAATCTTTAACCTTATGATCATACAAAACATTCCTTGGTGTTATTTTCACACTATTATATTTTATGCAATATGGGCAGCTAATTTTTAGGATATAATGTGAAATACAGTTACGTAAAAATTTTGGGAAATGCTGGGCAAAATAAAATTTAAAGTACTGCAGCTCCAAGCACATTTATTGAAGTTTAAACATTAACAAAAAAGTGTTAGACTGACTGATGGAGAAAAGTATAAATTCTACTTACTTTAAGTTTCTTCGTAAATGTGTTCTCAATAGTTGGGTCATAACTGTCAACAAACTGGCCATCAACAAACTGGATGCACAATGAAGATTTTCCTGCAATAGAAAATATGTAAACAATTATACCAATAATAAAATACAAATATTCAAAATACTGGATGATCCAACAGGAAATATGTCAAACATATGAAAAATTTCCAAAAGCACTATTAAATGGTATCCAAGTACAGTAAATCCAAAAACGAGTGTAGCTGGCCGTGTGTTAGGCATACCAAAATGTCCTATATGCAGGTAATTTGTGTATTGTTCCAGTCATGGTATTGTGCTTCTTTTTTATTCTGGAGGGATAATAGTATTGGATGAGAGACAAGTTTCGTGATTTGTTCGACATAACAGATAGTTGTCAGGAACACATTAGGGTAAGGTGTTTTTAAACAGTAGCTTTGAGATGGTTGGCAGATAGGGACCGTCTGTAATCTTCATGCAAAGAGTTCCAGATTTTAGGACCTTTTGTACGTTGTATTTTTACATAGGTTGGTTGGACATGGGGAATATCACAGATTTTTGTCTAGTATTGCGCTTATGAGATCTGTTTCAGTTATTAAGAAAAAGTTTCAGGGCAGGATTGATATCAGAAGACTGTCCTGTATATGCAGTACGAACAGCAGTGTGAATTTTATGTAAAATCCCCAAGTTTAGACTTTTGAAGAGTGTGGAATGTATTATGTGGCACTAGACTGGGTGATCATTTGTACAGACACTTTTTGTTGGGTTATTATTGGCTGTAGATGATTTACTGGAGTGGATCCCCAGGCACAAATAAAATACTAGTAGTACTGTTTGAGGTACATAGTAATGTACCTTGGAGAGGATGCCAACTGATTTGAATACTTTTTTTTTTGTGCCCAATGTGGGTGTTGAATTTTAAGTTGCTGTTAAGGAACAGATTTTTCTCTCCATGACATTCCCAGCATCCACCATCCACACCTGTGGAAATAAATCTACTACCTTTATTTGACCTCATGACAATGTCATGAGGTCAAATACCAAACATCCCTTCAATTAACAATAACATTTATGAAAAGCACTAAATTTCAAGGATGATTATTATAATCATGGGGAAGTGCTAAACCCGTAGGATTATACAGCACCTGGGGGGGTATGGAAGGTATTCAGGTTTAATTCAGGGAACTGAAGCACAGATCCAGTTCCCTAGATCAAGAGCCCCTCACCAGCATCAAGGAACCTCCCTTCAGGGGATATCAAGGATGAGTCAGCATCCCCATCAATATTAAATATATCTTCCCCAGACATTACCAAGAACATTACATAATAACTAGTTAAATTACCCTTAAAACTTTCAATCAACAAACTTTATATTCGTCTAATACTGCTTAATACATTAGGTTCAACATTTTAAATCTATATTTAATAACCATTATGGAGTAAGTTAGTGGTGACTCCTACAAGGAAACAATGGGGGACACCTTCCCATATTTTCCTCCTATAATCACCTGAAGGACTCGACTCAAAAGTGACATGGCTTACCAACGCTCCTGTAGCCCATCACGGCCACTTTTCTGTTCTTGGGGGGCATGGCTGGCAGGAATGTGGTTCAGGGTTCCATAAGAGAGATACTGAGGGTGAGAGAGTAGCAGCAGGAGTGTCCTCAAGTGTAAGTTTGAAGTGTGAGTCAGGACAGCCACGCGCACTTTGTTATTATGATGGCCGCCTCACCTCCCTCTCTCATTCCTTCTGTCTTCCCTAAACCTTGTTAATCATCATCCACCTACAAATCCTCTTTATCCTTACATATATTAACAGTGAGTTTATTCCCGTTATCTTTAATACGACGGATTTCCCAAGCCAGTAATAACCAGTTGACAGCAGCGGCATTTGACTAACTTTTAAGCTGTTATTAATTACAACTTTATCATATATAACTTTGTAAGATTTAAAAAAAAATATATTTTCTGTATTTTATTAATCATAATAACAATATTTTAGATATGGTTCAGAATTTAAAGCGTGTTTTGATAATATACAGCAAATGTCAGCAGGATCAGCTGACGCCTCAACAGCTGATATTATCAGCGCGAATTTTTAACTACTCTGCTTATATCAAAATTATATATATATGCACCTGTACCTCACGTGTTGTATAATGCAATATTCACCACTTTTATTTCTCTACTGGTACCTTGGGTATACCGGAAAATTAATTAATTTCTACGTTTTACCTGCCAGGAAAGTATTTAAGAGTAAAGACTGAGACACTCATGCAACATATGGGATCTTTAATATGAGGAAACGTTCCCACACATGGCTTCATTAACTCCATACAAAATAGAAAGGTTAAGGAGTAGGAAGTTTGAGGTATCAGTCCCTCAACCTGGAGTCGATTTCCATTCCTCAATCTTGTAGAATGTGCATAAGTCGTCCTCAGTCTTAACTTGTCGCTTTAAAACCCTTTATCAACTAAGATTAAGTAAGTTCATAATATAAATAATATAATAATATCTTTAACAAGACATGTACAAGTCTACAGTCTTGTTAACTACAATGACATACTACTATATAGAAAGCGCTTGTAAGCTGAGCATTTCGGGCAAATTAGGTCAGTTTTGTCCCAGGATGCGACCCACACCAGTCGACTAACACCCAGGTACCCATTTTACTGATGGGTGAACATAGACAACCGGGGTAAAGAAACACGCCCAATGTTTCTACCCTCGCTGGGAATCGAACCCAGACCCTCGCTGTGTGAAACGAACGCTTTAGCTACCAGGCCACGGTACAGTTATACATAAACACAATTACACAAATTATCATACATAGTAACATGTGTAAATTACCTAGGATAACCCAAAAAGGTCAGACAAAGTAATATATTTCCACTGGATAAGATTTTTAACTTGGAGGGATAGCCACCCAGGATAACCCAAGAAAGTTAGTGCGTCATTGAGTTGTCTGTCTTATTTTCACTGTGGTCCTTTAATCTTGTCCCCCAGGATGCGACCCACACCTACTTGCTTGCTAGGTGAACAAGGACAACAGGTGTAAGGAAAAACACCCAATGTTTCCACCCGGTCGGGGAATGAACCACGAACACTGAGTGTGAGGCGAGAGCGTTGTCTACCAGGCCACGGGACACCAGCTAACACTATCATTCATATAACAATCTATGCTCTTTGACTTAGTTAGGTTTATTTAGGTACAGATGCACCTATGTTACTAGATATAATAACTGTACTTTTGGTATTATCATTGGTCCTAGCATAATACAAAAAAAAGTCGACTATGTGTTTCTATGTCAAAAGCTTATTTATTACTAAACATAAATTTAGCTGCTAATGTACTTATATAAATTAAAGCAAAGTGCTATATTAACGGTAAAGATTATTCTTCTTCACGCTAAAGATGATAGAATTCTTGGGCTAGTATCAAGAAGTATAAATAACGGATGTCCTTCAGTTATTTATACTTCTAGATTGTGCTGCTCAGTTTCTGATCTCCACATTACAGGATGGACATAAATACGCTGGACAAAATAGGGAAGCAATTACGAAGTTAATGCCATGTATCAAAAACCTTTCCTATAATAATACCTTTATTCTACAAGTACATGTACAAGGTATACAGTCTAGCTGACATCAATGACAATACTACTATATAGAAAACCCTTGTTATGCTGAGCATTTCGGGCAAATTATGTCAGACTGTCCCAGGATGCGACCCACACCAGTCCACTAACACCCAAGTACCCATTTACTGATGGGTGAACATAGACAACCGGTGTAAGGAAACACGCCCAATGTTTCTATCCTCGCTGGGAATCGAACCCGGAAATTCGTCGTGTGAAGCGAGAGCTTTAGCCACCAGGCCACGGAACACCTCACTGAATATAGATTGAAGGTAATAAACTTGTTCTCTCTGGAAAGCCATAGAATTAAAGAGGATATAATTGAAGTATGCAAATGGAAAACAGGAATAAATACAGAGGATATAAAGAGAACAGAGAAAATGTGTAAGCAAGACCGAATTCCCAGAAATATATTAAAGTTGAACAAATCTAAATTTAGAAAGGATAAAGGGAAGTAGTGGTTGGGCAGTAATGTTGTAGATGAGTGGAGCAAACTCTCAGGTAGCGTCAGTGAGGCAAGAACTTTGCGTGGCTTTAAAAATAGATCAGACCGTAAGAGAAAAAGAAAAGATAAGATAAGATTTCGTTCGGATTTTTAACCCCGGAGGGTTAGCCACCCAGATAACCCAAGAAAGTCAGTGCGTCATCGAGGACTGTCTAATTTATTTCCATAGGGGTCCTTAATCTTGTCCCCCAGGATGCGACCCAAACCAGTCGACTAACACACCAGGTACCTTTTTGCTGCTAGGTGAACAGGACAATGGGTGTAAGGAAACGTGTTGGAATTTCCACCCGCCGGGAATCGAACCCGGGCCCTCCGTGTGTGAAGCGGGAGCTTTAGCCACCAGACCACCAATGGAAATATATGTCATTTTGACTTTTGGGGTTATCCTATGTAATTTATGCTATGTATGATAACTGTACTTGTGCCTAAATAAACTTAATTATGAGTACCTGCCTAGCATGGGCTAGCAGGCCTACTGTAATCTTCCTGTATTCTTGTGTTCTTGGAAGACAACATCTCATTCCGGATGTAAAGAAACTTGCCTTAAAACAAAGGTACTTTCACAGTCAAGCTTTGTTCTGGAGAGAAACTTGCCTTAGAACAAAGGTACTTTCACAGTCAAGCTTTGTTCTGGGAGAAAACTTGCCTTAAACAAAGGTACTTTCACAGTCAAGCTTTGTTCTGGAGAGAAACTTGCCTCAAAACAAAGGTACTTTCACAGTCGAGCTTTGTTCTGGAGAGAAACTTGCCTCAAAACAAAGGTACTTTCACAGTCAAGCTTTGTTCTGGAGAGAAACTTGCCTTAGAACAAAGGTACTTTCCCCAGTCAAGCTTTGTTCTGGAGAGAAACTTGCCTTAGAAAAAAAGGTACTTTCACAGTCAAGCTTTGTTCCTGGAGAGAAACTTGCCTTAGAACAAAGGTACTTTCACAGTCAACTTTGTTTCTGGGGAGAAACTTGCCTTAAACAAAGGAAATTTCACAGTCAAATCTTTGTCTGGAGGAAACTTGGCTTGAACAAAGGTACTTTCCAGTCAAGCTTTTTCTGGAGAAAACTTGCCTTAGAACAAAGGTACTTTCACAGTCAAGCTTTGTTCTGGAAGAAACTTGCCTCAAAACAAAGGTACTTTCACAGCAACTTTGTTCTGGAGAGAAACTTGCCCAAAACAAAGTACTTTCAAGTCAAACTTTGTTCTGGGAGAAAATTGCCTTTGAAAAAAGGACTTTCACAGTCAAACTTTTTTTCGGAGAAAACTTTCCTTTGAAC